GCAGCAGCTCATCAGTGGTGATGTGAGCAAGCAAAATTTCTCTGAGATCCCAACAGAGCATGGGAGCATCTTGAAATCTCTCTCACTCTTTTAAGAGTGTCCCCTGATAACCCCTGATCTGCTGTAGGTCTTCCTTGCAAGAGAGGCGCAAGCCTTTTATGCAGGGGCTGGAGGAAAGGACTCGTGCAGCAGCTTGAGTCACCCTCTGTGGCTATTAATTACAGTTGTCCTTAACAAACTAGAGCATTTGCTTGGTTTAATACCGTCGTGTATTTTGAAAACCCACAGAGGCTGACGACGTCTGAAAGTGCATCACCACAGCAGGCTCCCAGAGATGTTCACGCCAGTGGGTGAGTGATGAAGAGCCTGCCCTTCGGAGGTGCTGCTTCCCCGTTGCTCCTGTCATCCTCCGCTGGACTTGGGTGTGCACTGTCCACCAAAAATCAGGTCTCTCGTTGATTCATCTTTGCACGGTGCCCAGCTCACTTGGGCTCTGAATCACGACTGCAGCGCCCTGGTGCTAGCCCACTCCAGTTACATCTGGTCCAAATGAGGCGAGGAAGCACTTACTTTTCAAAGCTTCTGATGCAAAATGCTCTGCTAGAGATGGCAAGAAAGCAGCAGGGAGCTGGGAGAAGTGGGCCTTGTGTCTCTGGTGGGAGGCGTGTGCATGGTAGATGGCAGTGGCTTTTCTCAGTTCACAAGGAACTCCAAATTGAGATCTGGCCCGTTCGGTCATACTCGGGCACTTCGGAGTCGTACTCTTTGAAACGGGGAGACGTTTGCTTGTCACCTGTTCCATAGCTGAGCCATTTCCTGTGACGAGGCCACGTGCCGGGCAACTTTTAACCAGCCAAAGCTCCAGCTGGACTCATCCCCATTATTCTCTTCATACCATTTGCAGCTTGGGCTGATCTTTCCCTGCTCCTGTGGATGACGGCTGGGGGAGGTGGGGAAGGTCCGTGCATTTTTGCAGGTGTTTCATTTGCACTACTCTCTCCTGCTAATCCCGTAGCTGCTTCCTCTCGCTGTCAGAGGGGAAGGATGTTACGTGACCCCTCATGAATGCTTTCAGAGTTTCCTTCTGACAGGCCCCCAAAGGAGGCACAGAGAAAACTCTGCAATGGCTCTCTTGCGTAATAACCCAGTTGAGGAAGTGCCCATTAATGAGAGACTGAGCATACGGGGGGGGGGGGAAGAAAAAGCATGCTATTAACAGCTGCCAGTGTTGACCAGAAGAGCCTCCTTTGAGGCTTTAGGCAACATTTAGGTTTCGGCAAAGGGAAAAGCAGTCTTAGCGATTCCATTACAGCCGCTTTTGACTGTTCAGCAGCCGCAGCTTGTGCGAGTGTGACCACCTTTTATTTTTGTTTTACTTAATGTCACACTCCTAAAAGGCACCGGGGGACAGCTATCTTTTAAAAGCTATTTTGAAGAGATTTCGGTGGGAGGCAGGTGCTTAGAAAATCCTAGTAGGGTTTCTCTCTGCCACTTAGACACCTAAATGTCCTTCGGAGTCTGGTCCCGGCTTACCAAGAGAAAAGCCTTGTATTTATCCCATGGGCTGGCACTGTCCAGGCAGTGGGAGTCCAGGCTTCTGGTTACTACTTCCACCCAAATCTGGAGAGAGAGGCTGGTAAGGAGGCGACTCGCCCACCTCTAGGATGCATGTGCTCAGACATACCTAGAGCAAGAAGCAGTGGACTCCACCCTGCAGGACCTCCCCTCCCTTTGGAAGCCATTCATGCTCAGCGTCCTTAAAAATCCCTGCAGACAGGTGCAGGCCGTCCAACTCTAGCAAACAGCTCTACAGGAGCAGAGCAACCCGGATGCACGGCTCAGTGGTCGTATGCAAGCCGACGGGAAAGCTAGCGGCTACAAGAGTGTGCGTGTGTGTGAGATAGGGAGACCTCCCCCTTTTGGGTGGATTTGTTGTAACCGTTTTGTGCCTCTGCCATAGCCCACGCTACACGGAGACTAAACTGAGGGTAACACAGCAGCTGTTTTATTCCAGTGCGTTCACAAACCAGTCCCAGTCGATCAGCCGCCGACCATTCAGGTGTGGTCATTCCTTTCTTCCCACAGCAGTAGTCTCTCCAGAGGCTTAGTCTGTGGTATTTAGTGCCTCTGAGCCCCCAAAGATGGGAGATGATACTGGTCCTCCTTATAGGCATATTAATGACGGTGAAATCCAATGGGATTTGGGCACCTAACTCGGTTAGGCATTTGTGAACATCCTTAGCCAGCGAGTACAAAAAAAAAACCCCCTTGAAAAATGCCTTGAATACAAGTAGTTGTGTATGCCAGGGCATTAAAATGACTACACAAGGTGAGGACGGGCAGTCGCCCCTGTCAGCTGACAGAACAATAAAAGGCTCCCATTAGAGGAAGAAAGCATTACCTGCTCCTGAAAACAGATGCTACGTCTGACTGAGCAGTGCATCCCTAAAGGGGGGAGAAGCTTAAGTAAGAATTGCAGCCACGTGCTGTAAAACGTGGTGCTGGATTCACAGGCTAGTGTCAGGGTTAAGAAGCTCTCGAGGACTGGAGCGGTTCTCCGGCACTCAGGACGCCAAGGGTCCCTTGCGGGAGGCTCAGCTGTGGAGGTAAAGCATGGAGTAGGTGATCTCTCTTCTCATGCATTTACCTCCGTGCCCCTCTTTTTTTTTTAAATTTCCTTTCTTTGTCACTGAAGAGAGGTAATGCCCTGATGCTTTGCATGGGGTGGACCGGGGCTTTCAAGATGTGACCATTGCACGAAGGCTGATTAGAGGTGCATCCTGTTGGTTATTTTGTGCCGCGCAGCTCCCTCCCTGTCTGCTTCACAGAAACCGTAGACGCGTTACAGCTCTCGCTCTCAGAGCATGGTTCTTCCGCTCAAGCTGTAGAGGTCCCTGGGTCAACGCTTGTCTTCAACGAAATGGTGTCCATCGCACAGGCGCACCAGACCTTCTCGAATAGATGAGGGATAAGGATTCAGAGAGCCCTCCACGGTGCCTTTAAAGCTAGGGACTTACACCGTACAAGTGCACGATAGAGTTATTTATACACTCAATATATGTTTGAGCAAGCAAGAGGGAAAAGCATCTGTTCACACCCAAGCTTCTTCTACGTGCGTATACTTGCCCATTTGCACACAGGCACGAGATACCTGAATCCCACGGAAATAAGCCGCAGGTCTTCATACAGCGAGCTCCAACGTGGCCATCTGTGGCATCTAACTGAACTGACCCTGGGCCCAGAGTATCTCTAGGGCTAAGAAGTGGTGAAGAGATGTCTGAACTCCCCAGTACTACCCAAAATGTGGGTTAACAGAAATAAACTAAAAGAAGAGCCAGAGAGGATCCTTATGGTGCTATTGCCACAATACGCAAGAAACAAAATCTGTGAGAATATGACATAAACAGCTTCGGTGCATAAAAAGGATCTGTTTACAACAATGTGTCTGTCAACACAAGAGGAAGGGCTCCTTCTGGCCTTTACAGATGGCTCTCCAACACACGACAACAAATTTACAAGATAACAAAAAAACACGCCGCTTTAAAATGCAAATGAGCGGCAGCCCTAATGATTGGATTTGACTAACGGAGCAGCTATTTTTCAGCGACACCAGGCGGGGATTCCTCCTAGATCAAAGTTTCCATAAGCAGGCGACGTGGGTTTCCAGGAGGATCACAGGACCACTGTGACGCGTCTGCCCAGAGTTAGGTCTTCGGAGGACTGGGCGACTGAACAAAGGTGCACGCTCCTTTTTAAGCATAACCTGGCAACTGGTTGCATGCCAAGTGAGCTGCAAATAGCCAGCTTCTAGCTGTGTTATCCGGGTATAATGAAGCGCAAGTCATGATGTTGGCTTAGAGTACGCAAGCGTTGGGTTCTCTGGATAAGTCGCCTGGTTTTTGAGCTGTTAGGATTCACTTGTATGAATCAGACCTCGTGGTAGACCAACGAGATGTCTGCAAAAAACAAAATCGCTTTAATTTTTTTTTTGCAAAAAGTCTCATTGGTCTAATAAAAGAGATCACCTCTACCATGAGTTGTGGTTCCTTTTGCCTCTAGCCCAATACGGCTACAACCTGGATACCTGGCTCATTTATACGAGGTGTTTCTCGGGAGCTTGCGGGCTCGGAAGAAGCCTGTTCTTTTGATGCACGCTGAGCATCTTGTGCAGTTGCACAACGCCTGGATCTGGCTCGTCTAGAAACCCACCCAAGATTGTGAGGGCAAACTACAAGCGGGTACTACTAAGTGCCTGTAGAAATCTTGACCCATATACAGCCCTACATATATTATGCTTGGGCTGTGCTAATACCCCGGGCCTTATTCACTCTGCTGTGGTTTAGGGAAGACACTGAAGAGCAGCAGGAGTGCTTGAGCTGTTTTCAGATGAGGGCACTGTCTCAGGCTCTGCTCAGCTCCCAGTTGGAAGGCAACCTTTGCAAACGCAAGGGCTAGAAATATAATTTTAAAGTGAAAGCTGAGCTTCTGGGGGAGTTGATGGCATTTGCCTGGGAAAGCTGCCAACTCCCCACAGGTGAGTGCGCAAGAGGATTTGTCAAGCCTTGCAAATAGCGTAATTATGCAATTAACTGATATGCAATTAACCAGGGTAGAAGTGCCGGCAATCTAATGGGGTCAGACTGGGACTGTGCGGATCTTACTGGAGATGGGCACAATGAAGGGTGGCTACAATTGGCTTTGCATAACAAGAAAAGCAAAATTAGGGATGAGACGGAGCTATGCCTCATTTTATGAGCTAGAGAAGGGCCCTTCTTATTCAAGCACATGCTGTGTGGCTCTTGTTAGTGCAGATGCAGGGCCTGAGTTTGGCCTGTTCTGGAGATGTGCTGACATGTCAAAGCCCAGCTTGCGTGCATTTCAGTCCCACGGCCCCCTTGTATAAGTGAACGATGCAGCTCGGCTTTCCAGGAAAGCAGTACATATGGTTGGTGATGTGGGCAGCAGATGGTTAATAAGGTGTGTCCATCGCTGCATCCTTTTTAAAAAATTTGTAATGCAACTATGTGCTCAAAAAGATCTGCGTCATTTTTTAATTGGGAGAAGTCTCAAGGCCAGCCTTTTTCATGGGCGTGCTCAGCTGACAGCGAGGCAAAGCATTTGTAAGCAAGCAGACGCATGGCAGCCTATCAAATGGTCACTGCCTGGCACAGCTGATGTTACCATAAAGGAAAACAAAGCGAGGGCCCTTTGTACAAAAGGTTTTTCTTTTTTCTCTTTGACTAAACATTTCCTTTTCGAGAGACAGCAAAAACAAATAGCGTTGAGGAGGAAGGTTTTTTTCACACGCACTGAAAAGAAACTTTAATTTTCTTTATATTCCCCCTGCAGACAAGGAATTAACAAGAAGCCGAATCGAGTATCGGACACCAGACTTGACCCTCCTGGATCCTTAGCTGCTGCTAATTACAGCTCACTGCACTAGAGGTAAATAGTAGAGAAATCAGCCTTTTACTGATTTAAACACGAAGTCAAGTATCCGTGCCCTTTGCTGATAGCTAATGTATTTCAAGCATCTCTTTATATACAGGACTTGACATCACCTTGTGACCAAGCAAAAACTTACATTATATATTCTTTAAATCGGAAGGCTGCTACAATTCCTCGTGTGCTGATATATTTACAAATGATTGAACACACCAGTATTTTTTGCATTGCCAATCTGGTGTCTGTTGCCAATCTGGTATCCCATCCATATGGGGATTCGGGGTTTACTCACTGAAGTCGATTGCCTAGAAAAGCACCAGGATGAATGGCAGGGCTTGGTACGACGATAAACCCAGGGCAGCACGAGGTAATCTTGCCTTGCCAGTGCTCGGGCTGTGCCTGTTTGTTGGAGAAATGGAGCATTTCAGGCTGCAGAACTGCCAGCATCTTCTTTCATTAGAGCTACCTTCATGTGGCCACAGAGCTGGGAAACTGGCTGAGAGGCTCAGTGGTTTGGAAGTACCCAGTTGCAATGACATGTTGGTCGCCGCCAAATGACCCGCTGTGTTGTGCAGACCCTGATCTTGTAACTTGGGTTGCAATGAACTGATATTTAATTAACTGCAAAACCCAAATCTGACCTTGGAGGCACTGGTGTGATCACGAGAGGTGCTGACCGCCTACGGCCCACATCAAAACCAGTCAGAACTGTGGCTGCTCCAGGTGGCGAGCGTTAAAGCCAACATTTGGGGGAGCGAGGCACGTTGGGACCTCCACCCTTCCTGCAGCAGTGTGTGTAACCCTTGTTGAGGCAGGACACCAGTGGTGTACTCCTCTGGTCCGGTATCAGCCATACAGCAGAGTTGCAAGTTGCTATATCCTGTTGCCATTTGCTTGATCGTTTGACTGTGCGAGCATGTGTGCCTGCAGTACTGTGTGTGTCCCTGCTCTCTCTAGTGCTAGCGGGGCTCTGGGTTGTGCGTTTTCAGTCCATTTTCATTAGGCACCAGGTAAGTAGCAAAAAAGTTAAGTGCAGACAAAAGGCTCATGTGAATGTAAATCGTCCTCCTTCCTCCCTCGCGGTACTACTCCTCAAAGTATGAGATTTTATAATAGCCCTTCGTTCTGCCACAACTGCAGTTGGAGATGCTGTATTTGCTGATAAAAATGCCTGTTTGCCCCTTTAATATGCTTGCTCTGAGTGCCATAGGTGAATCACACCTGGCAGTCTGCCCGTGTAATCGCTGGGTGTTCTTGGAGGTGTATTCTCTTTCCTGACCTTTTAAATTCAAAGAGCTGGTTGGGCTGTTGGCGGAAGCTGGCCCTTTATTTTCTTCAGATTTGTGGGCCTGCATTTATTCAGGAAACTTTCAATTGCAAGTTTATCTAAAAAGTCAAAGGTCCTTGGGGAAATAATCAGGCCAAATTACAGCTGCTAAGCAAGCACAGTATAGGGGGTGGCATTTGTAATGCTTGCAGTTCCTCTCTGCACAGAGTCTTCTGTAATCAATATGCTGTAGAGCAAATGAGCTTTAAAAACACACTCTATTTTATTATTCTTTATTAATAATAATGAGGCCCTTGAAAATATCCATGAAAGGAGATGCTTAAGCTCATAATTAATAAATACTGGCTGGTATGCTACCAAACCTTGAGACGTCTGATAGGGGATATATCTTCATTCAAACAGCAGAGGGTGCTTGTGTGTGTCGCAGCTTAATAAGCCAGTGCCGTAGAAGATATGTAATCTGGTTAACACAATTTACAATCATTTCTTGTGCTCCTTAACTTGGGGTAGGAGAAAGTCTGCAGAAAAGCAGGCTTCAGAGCAGCGAGGGCCAACCTTTTTGGCACGCGTGTCACAAATTAGGACCCCCTTCACGTGCCACTCTGATCCCCTTTCTCTGCCCGATCTGTTGCTCGGCTAGGTCTGCGTTGCATTCTGCTCCCTTCCCTTCGCTCCCCTTCCTGATCTGCTGCTCCGCTTTCTGCTTCCTGCCCTGTCCGCCACTGTGCCGCCTGTCCTCTCCCCAATCTGCTGGGTGCCATGCGTGGAGGCTGCTTGTGGCACGCGTGCTGCAGATTGCACCCCCCACACTATACAGACTGAGGCAAGTGGTGAACCTTCCCTTACAGAGCTGGACTCAGTAAAAACCAGCTCTGAAATTTGAGAAGTTAGGGCTCCCATCTCCCTGCCATGAATGTAGGAGGAGGAGTTGCTGCTATATTGTATATAAGAGCAGCATTTCTGTTATGGCATGGTATGGGTTTTCTGCTGTGAGAACTTGGAAGTGAGGTTTGCAGAGATGTTAGATCAGGCTCACAAATGCTCCAGTTTCCCTAAAGAGCAATAACATTGCACAGGAGCAAAAAATGTGACAGAATTGAAAAGAAATTTGCTAAACCTGTAGGCTTCTGTACTTGACCATGGAGTTTGTACTCGCTTAGACTAGCTGGTAGCCCTCGGTTTTATGCCTTTCATAGCTCGCTTGAGCGTCTTTCAGATTCCAGCATTACCTTAGCATGTCTCGAGAGAAGGAGAAAAGCTCAGCGTGCTGCTCCAGCCTGTTTGATCAGCTGAAACCAACCCAAACCCCACTGGCGTCTGCTCCCCGTTAAACGTGGTCTCCTTCCAGATGCACGTCCTGCTGAGGGGGTGCCTGCCTCTCATGAATTTGAGCCTGGGGGCAGTGACGGTCAGTGGTGCCCTCGCAGCAGGCTGTGCCTGGGTACTCCATCAGCTTCCCACCGAGGGCCTAAAGGGTGATGCACACATCTGCCGTTCTGGTATTTACCTGAAGTGCCACATGGCTCCGCAGGCAGCTTCTTCCTCTCGGCTGCAGATTGCAGTCAGCTCTGAATTCCTTTAACTTTGTGGGGGTCAATCGTTAGAGTGAGTTCTTCTCGCCAACCATTTGGGAACCTTATTTGAAATAAATAACGCGCACAAAATTTGGAACGGGAGTGTCCGGTCTTCAAATATCACCCTTCAAGTGACAGGGTGGTCCAGTGAACCCTGGACACGCTGAAGACCTCTGCTGCCTCGGAGGATCTGGCATCATGGAAGATGCTACCTCTGCAGATCCTTCATTCACTGAAGCCACATGGCCACAGATGTGATTACCACTTGTTGGATTGATGGACCATGCCCAAAGGAGCCCAGGGCTCCTTTGGGCATGCCTCCAGTGAACCCATGGGCACTAATGTGGGCCCAGTATCACACAGACCTTCAGCATCAAAATCCAACAAGAAAATACCATCCAACAACGTAAAAAGCATGGGACATTTGATCCATAAAGAGCTCCTTTAGGAGATCTTCACCTCCGAAAAAGAATGTGCTGCACACGTGGTTCCTGATGAGGTGCGCGATGCGCTGAAGGGGCGAGCTAAGGACCCGATGTCTGCAGATCTCTACGTCCTTGTAGTACCTGTGAGCTCACTGCTGGAGCCTAAGGTGTTGTTCCCTGCTGCATTTGCCAGTGAAGATTGTTGTTGCCTCAGCACAAAGGTGGATGGATTCAAGCGATCCTGGGGCTGAAGCTTTCTGGACAAGAGAAGACCCCAGGTTTCTGCCAAAGGTGGTCACAGAGTTTCAGCTACATCAAAATCATGGACAGAGGCATCACTCCAGAGCCTGGAGGTGTGGTGAGACCTGGCCTTCTATTTCCAAAAGATAAAATCATCCAGGTGATCTCCTCGGCCCTTTGTAGCTAGGACAGAGGGTGAGCTGTACAGCAGCTTTGCCCAGAGGCTTTCCTGATGGATCTCAGCATAGGTGAAGGCAGGCTACGGACTAGCTGATGTGAGCACGTGCCACTGAAGCTCAAGCAGCATCACGAAAAATGGTGCATGCTGGCAGGTGTCTTGGGGGAAGAGAGAGGCGAAGCTTGTGGCAGCTGCTAGTCACACCACTTACTGTGCCCCTGGATGGCATTCAGATGCTGCACGAGCGAGGGCAGGGGAAAAGCCTGTACTGCCTGGAGCAGAGCAGCTGTGTTGCTCTTGCCCACCCCTGATCTTGGGCTGTTTCCAATCAGAGCCTGGGGCTGCAAAGTGGAGCGAGAGCCTTGTCCCCAAACTGTTCAGAGTTCAGCCTTCAATGCCACCGTGGCAGGGGGCCGTGGAACCTGCCTCGTTCAGAAACAGCTGGAAGAGCAAAGGGCTCGGTCTGGTGAGCTTGCACGGCTTTCAGCAAACCTGCACCGGAAAGCTCCTCTATGAAACCCTCCAAAGCACGCGGGTGTCTGCCATTATCCCTTGCGGCAGTGTCCGAGGTCCAGAATGGGCCGGCGACTCGCGGACACGTGGAAGCAATAGCTCTAGGGTGAGTTCAGGGTGATGGGGCAGAGCTCTTATGTTGCCTTAGGAAGAGGAAAAGGAGGTTTTCCACCTGGACTCTGCATCAGAGAGGTCAGGACCCTCGCCCCGTCAGGCAAAACAAAGGAGGTTTGGAAATTTTCCCTGCTTGTGAACCCTTCTTTTTATCTGTAAAGCAGTGCTTGGCACTCTTCACTTGCCATCCACATCATTATTCCCATTTTACAGAGGTTGACCTGCCTGTGGGGGCGGGTCACATCATTTGTCCAGACTAGACTGTCCGGGTGTAGACTTTTAACTCTCAGATCTATAAACTTTCCACCGGCCTGTGCAGCCTCCTTATGTACCCCGCATCTTACCTTTCTCCTTTCAAGCAGCTCTACTGGGTTTTATTAAGCATGGAGTGGGTATGGTGTACACAGGGCATTGACGGGGCAGCGCTTGTGGTCTGACAGAGATGGCCGAGCGTGGACTGCTTTGGGAATGAATGCACTGCCAAGGGCAAATCGCTTGTTAAAAAGGAACTAAGCTAAGTGTCTGCAGCGTCTGAGCATTGCCCTGGCAGGATCAGCCAGGCCTGGTGCACTGTGTTTAAAAGCAACTTGGGCAATTTCAGAGAAAAGGGCAATGTGAACAAGATGGTAGAAATCCTGCGACTTGGTGGTAGGGGAGTCGGACATGAA